CCAACACTCGTTATTTCTTGTCTTATTGATAATAACCATTCTAACAGGTGTGAGGTGGTATCTCATTGTAGTTTTGACTTGCATTTCCCTAATAGCTAGTTAAGTTGAGCATCTTTTCATGTATCTGTTGGCCATTTGTATGTCTTCTTGGGAGAAGTGTTCATTCAGGTCCTCTGTCCATTTTTTAATTGGATTGTTTGGTGGTGAGTTGTATGAGTTCTTTATATATTTTGGATATTAACCCTTTGTTGGAGCTATTGTCTGCAAATATCTTCTCAAATTTGATTGGTTGCCTTTTGTTTTATTGGCTGTTTCTTGTGCTGTGCAGAAACTTTTTAGTTTGATATAGCCCATTCATTTATTTTTGCCTTTACTTCCCTTGCCTTTGGGGTCAAATTCATAAAATCTTCTCTAAGGCCAAGGTCCACAAGTTTAGTACCTATGTTTTCTTTTATGTAATTTGTTGTTTCAGGTCTTACTTCTTAAAATTAAGAAATATATATCTAAATAATTGTTGAGTTAAAAAACAAATACCTGAATATTGGACATATTTTGTACTGGATAAAAACAAAAAATGTATTTCGAAACCATGGGATACAACTAAAATACTACTCAGGTAATAATTATACCCTTAAATTAGAAGACTGAAATAAAAAAATAGATTCTCTCCCTTCACCTCCTAAAGAAATAGAAATCTGAAAGAAGAAAATAATGAAAAACATACTACTATAATGGAAATTTTAAAATTTTAGATAAAATGACAAATCTGTAGAAAATACAACTTACTCAAACTGGCACAAGAAGAAATGGAAAATCTAAATAGTCCTAAAATTCTTTTAAATTTTTAATTTTTTACTAAAACATTCACACAAATAAATTCCAAGCCTAGATTAACTTCTTGGTAAGTAAGATATATAAAGAAGAAAAAACCAATTGTACACAATTCTCCAAGGGAAAAGGCAAAGAGGGAAGATGTGCCTTCTCATTTCAACATGAAGGACAATATTAGAAAGGAAATTTCAGGCCATTACACTCATACTCAATCAAAACTTTCAAACAAAACAGCAAATTACTACAGCAATATATAAAAAGCATCTAGATGAGCTTATTTATGGATTATAAAATTTGTTTTTTGGCAAACAAAAAGAGAGGAGACCCCAGCCTCTCTTACCCCATAATGATGAATAGTTAGATAGCTATCCATGAACAAAAATAGCTCTGGGAGAGCTCTATAACTCCTGTAAGAAATTTTAGCAACACGATGAAACAAAAACACCTGAGAATAATAACACAAAAAAATATATGTTGAAGCCTAACCCCCAAGATGATGATATTTGGAAGTGGAACCTTCAGGAGGTGATTAGGTCATGTAGGTGTAATCCTAATGAGTGGGATCTGTTCCTTTATAAAAGAGATCCCAGAGAGCTCCCTTATTTTCGTTTCTTTGTGTGAGGACACAGAGAGAAGATACTTATCTAACAGCCAAGAAGCAGGGTTTCACCAGACAACAAATCCATTCATGCATTGGTCTTGGACTGCTCAGACTCCAGAACTGTGAGAAATAAATAAATCTCTGTTGTGTATAAGCCACCCATTCTGTGGTGGTATTCTTATAGCAGCCCACTAAAAGGAACATACAACAAGACACAATAAGAACTCCCTGGGACACAAGGATGGTTCAACATATGGAAATCAATAAACATGATACACCACATTGATAGACTGAATGATAAAATTATATAATCATCTTAATAAATGCAGAAATTGAATTTACAAAATATAACATTCTTTCATGAAAAACTCTCAACGTAATGGTTATAGAAGAAATGTACCGCAAGAGAATAAAAGCCACATATGACAATCCCACAACTAGCATAATGGTCAATGATGAAAGTATGAAAGGTTTTCTTCTAAGATCAGGAAAAGGAAAAGGATGCACCTTTTGACCACATAGTACTGGAAATTCTACCACAGCAATTAGGCAAGAAAAAGAAATAAAAGTTATCAAAATTGGAAGGAAGAAATAAAAGTGTCATCACTTAAAGAAAACACTAAAGACTCCACCAAAAAACTGTTAGAACTAGTAAATGAATTCAGTAAATTCACAGGCTACAAAATCAATGTACAGGAATTTGTGACATTTCTACACACTACTAACAAACTATCAGAAAGAGAAATTAAGAATATAATTCCATTTACAATTGCATCAAAAAGGATAAAATACCTAGGATTAAATTTAAACAAGGAAGTGAAAGACCTATACATGGAAAACTATACAATAGAGATAAAAGAAATTGGAAATGACACAAATAAATGGAAAAATATACCATGATCATGGACTGGAAGAATTAAAATTGTCAAATTGTCCATACTACCCAAACCAATCTACAGATTCAATTCAATTCCTATCAAAACTCCAATGGCAAGGGAAACAAAAACAAAAATAAACAAATGGGGCTACATCAAACCAAAAAGCCTCTGCAGAGCAAAGCAAACCATCATCAAAACAAAAGGCAACTTACTGAATGGGAGAAGATATTTGCAAATCATACATCTAACAAGGGTTTAGTATCCAAAATATAGAAAGAACTCATATAACTCAAGAACAAAAACACAAGCAATCTTATTTTTTTAAATGAGCAGAGGTTCTGAATAGATATTATCCAAAGAAGACATACAGGTGGCCAAAGATATATGAAAAGATGTTCAACCTCACTAATTATTAGGGAAATACAGAACAAAACCACAGTGAAATATCACCCCACAGCTGTTAGAGTGACTATTATCAAAAAGACAAGAAACAAGCATTGGAAAAGATATGGAGAAAAGAGAGCCCAGGTACACTCTTGGTGGGAATGCAGATTGGTGCAACCACTGTGGAAACCAGTATGGAGATTCCTCAAAAAATTAATAGAACTACCATATGATCCAGCTATTCCACTACTGGGCATTTACCCAAAGAACACAAAAACATAAATTCAAAAAGTATATTCACCCTTATGTTCATTGCAGCACTATTTACAAAAGTCAAGATATAGAAACAACCTAAGGGTCCATCAATAGATGAACGAATAAAGAAAGTGTGATATATATGATAGAATATTACTCAGCCATAAAAAGGAATGAAACCTTGCCATTTGCATCAGTGTGGATGGACCTTAAGAGTATTATGCAAAGTGAGTAAGTCAGAGAAAGACAGATACCATATAATTTTAATCATATGTGGAATCGAAAACAGAAAAAAACAAATATACAAACAAAATAAAACTCATAGATACAGAGAACAGATCAGTGGTTAGACCTTGGGGATTATCTCTTCATAGTGTACACAAATGTCAAGTTATAATGTTGTACACCTGAAACTCATATATTTTAAAAAAACAAGAGATAGCAAACATTAGTGAGGATATGGAAAACAGGGAACACTGTTGATAGAAATGTAAACTGGTGCAGCCATTATGAAAAACAGTATAGAATTTTCTTAAAAAAATAAAATTAGAAATACCACATGATCCAGCAATCCCATTTCAAGGTATATATTCAAAGGAAACAAAATTGTATCTCAAAGAGTTATCTGCACACTCATGCTTATTCCAGCATCATTTACAGCAGCCAACATATGGGAACCTCAGTGACCATCAACACTAAGTGGATAGAGAAAATGTGGTATATATATGCAATAGAACACCAGTCAGCCATAAAAAAGAGAGAAATCCTGCCATTTGTGACAACATGGATGAAACAGGAGGACATTATGCTAATTGGGAGAAAACCAGACACAGAGAATTACTGTGTTATCTCCCTTACATGTGAAATCTCAAAAAATCAAATTCATAGAACCAGAAAGTAAAGTGATGGTTGCCAGGGGTTGGGAGGTGGGGGAAATGGGGAGATGTTGATCAAAGGGAACAAACTTTCAATTATAAAATCAGATAGTTCTGAAGATCTAATGTATAGCATGATGACTCTAGTTAATAATAGTGTATGATATACTTGAAGTTTGCTAAGACAGTAAATCTTACTGTCACCAAGCAAACAAAAAAAGACTATTTGAGGTGAAGGATGTGTTAATAAGCTTGATTGTGATCATCACTTCACCATGTGTGTGTATTTCAAATCATCACATTTTATTCCTTACATGTATACAATTTTTATTTGTCAATTATACCTCAGTAAAATGGGGGAGGAAGAAGTCATGAAGAATGTTTGTGGAGGGGTGATATTTTTATTATCTTGAATGTGATGATGGTTTCAAAAAACTGGATATGTGTCCAAACTTATCAATTTGTATACTTTAATATTTGCAGTTCTTATGTCATTTACATCTCAGTAAAGATGGTTTTAAATAGTGACAGTTATAAAAAATGTCCTTGAGAGAATATTATGCAACTTTAAAAAAAATACTACTTAAAGACTTTATAATGGCACAGCAAATACTTATGGTATATAGCATATTACAAAAGCAGGATACCCAATTACAAGTATATTAAGTTTATAACTATGCAAAACAAAATATTAAAGAATAAACTAGGCATAAATAAAACTTTCTTAAGAAACACAAATGTTGTCTCTGAGAGATAGGGCTCAAGTATAACTTTTCTTTCCATGTACTTTTTAATATTTAACAAATTTTCTAAAATTAGCACTTAATTTTTGTTGTAACGTAAAGACTGAACAAAATAAACTTCATTTATTTTAAAAAAAGAAAAGGCATACAGTTCTCAGGTCTCCATTAGCACTTTTGGAAAACCCAAGTGGGGGAGCAGTGCCTTTTTCAAAAGGAAAAGCTGTCAAACGGGAGTAGCTGTCAGTTCTCCCCCCATATAAGCATTACTAACTCAGCTGCCTCAGGAGAGATCAGTGTAGCATATCTACCTGGAACAGGGCATACCCTAGACACGAGAGCTTTGTACAGGGGTGTGTGCCCAATCTTCCCTTTCTGCTCTCTGACAGCCAGTGTCCGACCCTGCCACCAGCCTCCTCAACAGAAGATCCTAGCCATGAAGCCTCTCCTCATCGTGTTTGTCTTTCTAGTCTTCTGGGACCCAGCACTGGCAGGTAAAATGGAAGTCTTCCTGGGAGGGTCCTTTGTCTAGAAGTGCAGTTCCACTCAGCAAACCTATGAATGTCCTCCCACCATTTTCAAAGTGAAAAAAAGCATCAAGCAGCTTTGATTTCAGCAAGGCCTGAGCTTGAATCTTGGCTCTCCAACTTGTTAACTGTACTGCTGTAGGCAAAAGTCTGAGCTTTTTGAAACTTTAGTCTCTTCACTTACAAAACAGAAATAATAATACTAACCTCAGAGTCTGGCAAGAATTAAATGGGATAATGTATAGAATATGCCTATAAATAATATGTACAGTACCTGACTTATGAAAAGTATCATTATATTTTCATTAGTAACCCCCCATCCTGTTTTGCCACTATTTTGTCTCTAATTCAGGAACATATCTATCTAGTCGTACTAGCCAAAACCAGCAAATAGTGATAACATTTTAAGCTTTCTAATATGCTGAAATTGCATATAGTAAATTTACTATTTGTAGAGTCCTTAGGTACATGGTGAAACAGATTTGGAACTGCTTGTTCCAAGAGAATTAATGAGCTTCATATGATGAAAGAAATGTCTGATTAGATGAGGTAATGGCTAGAGAGACATGAAGGAGAACACTAACTGGCCTCATGTTCTGACTTTAGAAATCTCATCTTGAATACTCTCTTCACTTGGTGTTATTGAATCAATTCAAGTCCATATGTTATAGGGTCCCATTTAATTTCTCACCATCCCTGAAGTATTCTCTAGGCAAACGAGCCAGATTTTCAGATCATGTGACTCAGTAGGCTGATTTTAAGAATCCATAGGATCAAGGCCTTTTAAAGCTGTTGATGGGATCAATTCCACTATGGTTTATGGCAATGGATCCATGGTCTCTATACAGTCAACAATCAGATGTAATCTCCAATATTCCATTTAGTGTCTTATACATTTCCATAGCTGGTCTTTTTCATAGGACTTTCTTGCCTCATATACAAACCATTACACTTCATCTTCTTGGGCTTCCATCTTGCCAGCTAAGTAACACTGATCCCTTCTTTTTTCCTATAGAACAGTTACCCTCCAGAGCATGATGACTTGGATAGGGTATATGTTGGCTCAAAATATCAACACATGGACAAATAGTGTCACTCTTGTCCTTTTAACACCCTCTTATATATGAACATAAACAAATATTCATAGTTTGAAGACCCTGTAGAGTCACATGTCTACAAAATTGTAAGCTTAGCTTAAATGCCTTAGGCTCTAATAAGACACCCCAAATCTTCAGCAGTGATTTCACCCTCCTCTGAACTAATACCATTCCATGTTGCAAATGTTTCAATGGGCTTGTCATGCTTCTTTCCCCTCTCACAGGTATTTTGTGTTTCTTTTCTCATTGTCTAGACTGAAAATTCCTTGAGATTAAGGTCTATGTCATACTCAAATCTGTACCCCAACATACCTGGGTTTATAAAAACTGGTTTGGGAATGAATAAATAATTTTAAAATGAGTTAGTGATTACATGTATAGGTAACTTGATTGTTTAGAGTGTATTAACTGACCAATTTGGGGAAACTTCCAAGTTACTAATTGTCTTAGTCAGCTCAGACTGCCGTAAAAAAATACCACAAACTGCATGGCTTAAACAAACTTTATTTTCTCTTAGTTTTAGAGGCTGAAAAGTCTAAGATCAACTGCAGGTAGATTCAATTTCTGACAAGAGTTATATTCCTGGCTTATATACAGCCATCTTCTTTCTGTATCTTCTACCAATAAAGCCACCAATCCTATTAATTTAGGCCACCAATCCTAATGCATTGACCTTATTTCACTTTATCTCCTGAAGTCCCTATCTCCAAATACAGTCAAACTGAGGATTAGG